CTACTGCATTGACTTTAGCGATTTTGGCATACCTTGCACTGAAACTTCTTTCTAATTTAGCATTAAATGTAGCAGTTATTTCATTCCCTCTATACCTCCCGAACCTCAGCCACAGTATATGTTAAACTACTACTAGTTTCATATAACTCAGGGACTTGTGTTTCAGATTCTATATTTCATTAAAAAAAATTAAAAATTTAAATTTATTGCTCACCCAAAAGAAAAAGCGAAGAAGAAATTTTGTTACTTTAGTCTGATATAATGTTTGTACCATCTATATCAAACTTAATATGCTGATCTTTGTGATCTTAAATGCTTCTAAATTTGGTGAGACTGTTAGCATTAGAACATTAAATTCATCTTAAAGTCATGTAGTGATCTCTTGGTAACTATATGATATTGCGGCACATAAGTTACTTGAGTACTGCATTCTATTACAAAGGTTTTAGTACATTTGACATGCCTTTGTTGTCCTTTTATCTTAGCATCTTATTTTGAGAGGTTGTAAAGTAGTAGGTTGTGAAACACTGGCTGTTTACTGTTTATATTATTGTTGGAAAGTTTAGGAACGATGAAAGAGATTATGATATATAATATGTAAAAGTTGATTAGAGGTTGATACTCTTAAGGGAAAACTGCTGCTGGATAGTCTTGAAACAAGGTGTTAGGGATACAAAGTGTTGGTTCTGCTATAGTAAAGTGGTTTTAGGGGATCAAAATGGAGTATTGTGGTGGTGGTATGAAGAAATAAGGGCTGGTTATCTACACATGGTCATAGTAGTGCCTGAATATGGAAGAGACTAAATTCTAGGCACCAAAGCGAGATCTCCATGTTTATCAGAAATTTTGTTGTTGTCTAAGGATGCATATCAAGTGCCATTAATCTTTACTGTGTTTTATGTATTAGAATGAAAAGCATAATCCCTTAAGAATTTGGCATGCATGTTCATTGTTTGGTGTTTTACTTTTTGTGTCCAGGGGATGTAAACAAGTTTTGCTGCTTCTGTAAGTTGAATTTAGAGTTTGGATACGGTTTAGACTCTAGGGTTGAGGCCTTGGTGGAAAACAACAGGGACCCGTTTGAACAGTAAATGATCCTGCTTTTCGATGTAACGGCGATCCGTTTTTCAATCTTTATCATATTTTGACCATAATATATTTTAAGAAAAACTAATAAAAAGGGCTTGAAAACTTTGAGTTTTAATGATAAGGACAAAATAAAGGGTAAAGTGAATAGTACCAGGTTTGACTTTTTAGTGTAAAAATGTGTTTTTCGTTAAAGAGAACAGTACCGTGGGCTTTTCGTTAAAACTCCCTATATTTTATGAGTCATAAAAATCAGTCGATGGTAGTATGGAATTGTTTTGAAAGGATACAACACTAGCATGACACTGTTGTTCTCTGAAAAAATGGAGACTTCTGAATGTTGTTACTTATTATTATTATTATTTTTTTTTGCAGGTGGATGGAAACTTCCTAGACAGAGCTTTGGCATCACAACAGAGAACTGATTATTCTGCAGTGCTATTTTATGCTTCCTGGTGCCCACTTTCACGCACATTGTATCCCACATTTGAAAAGCTCAGCTTCATGTTCCCTCAAGTAGAGCATTTGGCCATTGAGGAATCTTCAGCCCTGCCGAGGTAAGCTTAACTTGGTGTACTTTGTCCTTTATCTATAGCCCAATACATTATCCTCATTCTGTTCTGGATTGTAATTTCTAATGTCTGTTATGTATGGCGGCAATGAAAACTCTCCGAAAGGGGAGGAAAACTGACCGAGGTTTTCGTATTGGAGTTATAACATTATAGCTCCATGAGCAAAAGCCCCTGTCATGTTGAATCCTGTGTAAGATTCCTTCTTTTGCTTTTGTATCTGTGGTAAACTAAAGTATTGATGCTGTAGGCCAAACATTGATTTCAGGAAAAGAAATTATGTGTGTAGCTATGTAAATTTATTGAGTATTTTGTTTGTTTCTTGTTAAAAAGGAAATCTGTGCAATTATAATGTTTTCCATACGTAATCTAAATGTCAATGTTGTACAGATTTGTTGTTGGTGCATTGTTCTAGTTAAAACTGCATATTCCATGGCCATGGAAGGCAATTTTTTCATTTTCTTACAGTTATTACTATACCTGCCTTTTGGGATGTATAATATCCATGGCCTTGGAGAGATGTTTACTGTAAGATATTTATGGGATGGAAGAAAGTTGTATTATTCTCCGTTCTTTGAAAACACAGCTACGTTGTCATGCCTTTGATGCGTTGTATTGCAGTGTGTTCTCAAGATATGGAATACATAGCTTCCCTTCGATTTTACTAGTCAATCAGACATCAATGGTGCGTTATCATGGTCCAAAAAATCTCTCCTTGCTTGCACAGTTTTACCAGAAAACCACAGGTAAAATTCTCCTAAATTGAAGAATATTTATGCATGCGGGGTAGATGGCCTACCTATCATATTCTGTTCCTTTTCATCTATTTATTGCACTATTTCTTACCATATATGTCCTCGCTGTCCCGTTTCTTTCAGGACTTGAACCAGTTCAATATTTTGATGGTGATCATACTGTTAGCTTAAATATACGTGAAAAATCTATAATCCAGTCAATGAGTGACATGTCACTAAGGGAGATATCAAGGAGGGAACCCTTTTTAGCTTTTGCTACATTGTTTCTCTGTTTGAGGGTGCTTCTGTATATGTTCCCGAAGGTATTGACTCGCCTCCAAGCTTTCTGGGTCCTATACGTTCCTCATTTTAACTTGGGAATATTTGGGGAGACGAGTCAAATTATGGGGCGTATCCTCCACATGGTTGATGTTAGGAGGATTTGGACCAAGCTGAGATTATGCAAGACGAGGAACTTCCACAAGGGAGCAAAGAACGCCAGGGTTTGGGCTTCTTCCCTAACTTCTGTCTCCTTGGGCAAATCTTCATCTGCTCGATCATCGACAAACTGAGTGTATAAATCTCCAACTAATGTGTATCATCCATCATTAGCTGCTGTGATGCTCCTGGGGCAGGTAGTTATCTCTGTCTTTCTCAAATATTTTTACTGGTAGTGATGATAACTGGAGCTGCCCTCTGTCTTCCTTTGGGTTGAGTTTTTTTCGGTGAAAGCAAACAAGCTATGTAAATTTGAGAATAGCTTTCATTTTGTAAATTACTCGTCATCTGACGGGAAAGTGTATTAGGTTATACAAGTGGAATGTAAGTATATTAATCTCTCGCTCGATTCATCGTTCAAGACCATAATCTTGCTTTCGCTAATCATCAAAATCTTAACAGTTACGTATGTAATATCATGTTTGAGATAATAGCTGTGCAGATTGAGTGCTTGTTGAGTAAGGAGCTCTGCAGCTTTTGATGCATTCTTAATTTGCCTACTGGAATCCACGACTTGGTTAAACATGGTGTTCCATGTTGAGCAAATTGCTTACACAAGCAACTCTGCTTCGCCATCTACCATCTCCGCCGCGACATTAGGTTCGCAGCTGTTAACAGCTCGAGAATTCCCAGACTTTGGCTACCACCAGGTTCGACTGACCATGGTAGTTCACTAATATTGCAGCGCTGTAACTGGAGTCGAACCCCCTAATGAGAACTGCCGTCAAATTAATCCACCACACCTAGCCAGGAACAAGAAAGATTCTGAACAAAGTGGAACTAGGTAAAACTCGGTCGTTTGCATTGATCCAGGGTTTTGTTTAAATAGAGAATACAGTCCGGCTTGGCTCCCACTCTTTTTCAACGCGATTTTTCGCCTTTCTCCTGGAAGGTGAGTAGAGCTTTTGCTCGGGTGTTCACACCACCTCTTTCCTTTGGTTTGCCTTTGTTGGCATTGTTGCTAGTGGGTTTTGTCCCGCTAGCTTCCTTTGATTTGTGGCAGCTATTGTTGTGGTGTGCTATGGAGGAGTTTGGGGCTCTGTTTTGGGGTCCTGTTATTACTCTGTTTTCATCCAGCTTTGGGACTGTAGTTCTGTTCCTTTCCGATGGTTGCAAGGGTTGTTCGTTTGGTAAGCAGGTTGACGACGGAGGTAGGAAGCTGCTAGGGTTTACTTTGGTGTTTTTCCTGTTCAGGCCTCAAAACTATGTTTTGGGTTGTTGGGTTACTATGTAGGTCCATTTTTTTGTCTGTGTGTTTCTTGTATTTGGGTCTTCTCTCATGTAATCTATTGTGTTATAAATAAAGTAAGCCTTTGTTCAAAAAAAAAAAAAAAAAGAGAATACAGTAAGGAAAAGAAAGAAAATAGGGAGTTTTCACGGTACTATTCACTTTACCCTTTATTTTGTCATTATCGTTAAAATTCAAAATTTTCTAATATTTTTCATTAGTTCTCCTAAGAAAATAAACCAGTAATAAAGATTCCAGCCCATGGACGGTTGTACGTCCTCCCCTTGTCTCCTTGTTTTATTTTATTAACCTTTTCCTTTCATCCAAAGTAAACTCGAACAAGCAACAGACACTCTAATAGGTCTTTCAAAATCTTTTTAAATTTTGATTTAACTACACACTTTAAAAAAAGTTAAGATTTTCCAGTGAAATCAATTGATAATATAGAGTCGCTTAACTTACTGATAATAAGTACATACAAAGTCATTTATCGCATCAATATGAAAATTATTCTTAACACGCTTCTTTACGTGTGACAAGTTTTCAAACTTAATACGTAAATAACACAATAAATAAAGTGTAATACACGTGGCTGTTTGATTTCACACGTAAAATAACCTGTCTTAATACTAAAAAAAAAGCTAAGGTTTCGTCCGTGGAGTGCGAATGAGACAAACAAAAGAATCTCCTTTTCATTTGAAAACTTCACTTTCTTCACTCTGTCTATCCATCCATCCGTCCCTATACAACTTTTTCACACGGAGATGAAAAGAAAGAACCTTGAGAGCTACTTGTGAGCGCGAACATTAGTTAACCTCTAACCAAAGTTACACATTAGTAATCAAACTTTCCATTTAAATAAAAGCCATTAACAAATGAAAAGAAATATAAACCAAACCCATCTGGTAAGGCAAAGCAATTCTCTCTTTGGTGGGTCCCTTTTTCGACCACATGCATCCTTCCCTTCGCCACTATTAGAAGAACGGATAAGCACTCATTCAAACCTTCTCAAGCATCTTGCTTGCTTATGGTGGATCAATCTTTCACTCCAAGAGCAACAAGCCACACTCCATGCCCATGTCCAGAGAGAACTTCCCCAGAAAGCTCCATGAAAGCCACCTTCGTTGATTCAATTATCATTCAACATTACTACTAGTACCCTTCTCCTCTCCTCCTTTGATCATCTGAATTCATTGATCCCATAATATTTCATTTTTGGTTTGGAAAGATGGATCTTGATGAGTGGGAGTACCTACCAGATGATGCGTTTCTTGATTTCCATGAAGACAGTGAAGAGAAGAGGATTTTCTCGAGCAAACGCTATTCTTCTTCTGATAATTCAAAAAGTGTTTTCAACATGAACTACTTCATAATCCCATCACCCAGTTCTAGGTCAAAAGTCATTCACGAGACACCACCACGACGACTACCGCCAACAACACCGCCACCGGTGTCGCCAGCTTGGATTAATTCAAGTCTTGTTCCCGTTCCAATTCAGCTGGAACTACCTCCAAGCCTTGACAAGGCCCCATCACTCTCACAAGAAGAACAAGAAGAAGAAAAACAAGTCATCAAAGTCTCCCAAGTGGATCAAGACGCACAACTCTCCCAAGTTTACTTCAAGAAAACTTGGGAAAATGAATTTGCCGACATGAAAATATTGGACTCCCCAAAGTCTCCCACCTGCAGATCACCTATGCATCAACAAACTGATAAGTTTCAGTTTGATGACAATTTAGGTCAAGAAATCACCTCTCTAAGGAAGGAAGTTGTTGACAAAAACAGCTTGTTGGAGTCATCAGAAGAGATAAATAGCAACAACAACAACAACAACATCTGGAAGCTGAGTTTTACAGGAATCGGAGCAATTTGCTCTTTTGGTTTTGCTGCTGCTACCGTTTGTATTATCTTTTTCGGTGCCCATCAGAGGAACAAACAGTATCAGCACAACCAGAATCGCTTCCAGATCTACACTGACGACAACAAGGTCAGCAAATTTAATTAATCTTCTAGCTCCCATCTACTTAATTAGTCCAATTAATTACATAAGTGCTGTTTTAATTTCTTCATTATTTTTCTTATTTTTCCCCATTCTTTGCAAACTTATTTTAAAAATTAGTACTCATCCAAAATACTTATTACAATTGTTTTTATCAAATATGACTAGTTTTCGAATACGCGATAACATGTCTAGGTTGCTAGCCATTGAACATGAGTTATGTAATTAATATAAACAAGACAACGAATGATTATAAATTATTGAACTATCTAGCGGGATGCGTATTATTAGTGACCGTTTAACAATTGTCATGTATACATTTCGTTTTCATGCATGCATGCATGCCACATGATGTTACAGTCTCACACAATAATTTTTTTCATGTGGCATCAAAGTGCATTGTTGTAGGTTTATTTGCCCCATTTTGGGATTGTCAATTGTACTAGAGCCGAACCAATATTCTAATCCCACTTTTGTTAATTTTTGGATCGATTCAGAGGATTAAGCATGCTGTTCAAGATGCAACCAAATTGAATGAAGCATTTTCAGCAGTTAGAGTATCCCTCCCTAGAGCTCATGTCACATATGGTGGTTACTATAATGGTCTATGAACAGCCGCCTCCCACTCGATGAAATGGAAGTTAATTTACAGTACTGCCTGAGTTTGCTTTTGCACTGTACTCGTAGAAGAGATATATTTTTCTTTCAAGCGTATAAGGTCAATAAATGTGCATTGCATGGGATGCTTGTACAGATTCTGAATCCTTTGTTTGTATAGTAGATTTCCTATTTTGTATTAGTTTGGCCAATTGGCCACATATTATTTGTATCCGTCGAAGATCTATAATAATTCACTTTTCTCATTTCTCTTCCGCACCTTGAACCTCCTTGCACTACAAGAAAAGTGAGCAACAACTGCCAAGATTACGTATAAAACAATATAAAAGATTCTCGATTCTAGACTGAGCAAGGTTTCTAGCAAGCCAAAAATAGTTGAATATGTTAGCTGCTACCCAACTTTAATATATATATATATATATATATATATATATATATATATATATGCAATTGTTAACTATTACCATTATTTTCCAAGTTTTTTTTACTATGGGATTCTTTAAATTATTCAAAATTATGGGAAGTAGAATTCAAATTTAGGCGTAAGATACACATTTATAACCAACTAGCATATAACAGCCTGCATCTGGATGGTTTTGTTCAGTTAAATCTTAATTTTTGACAAACTAATCTTTCTTTCTCTATACTCAATTGCTGCTGGAAATACTTGATCTAAATGGAAGCAGCTAAGTGCTTGCCCCTATCAGATTTCTCATATGCAACAACTTGATTGGTAGATATTTTAATAGGCCATGAGGGAGACTTATGGAACACCGTACACATTCCAACAAATGAGATTACTGAGTCATGACCCACTTCGTCAGAAAATGTGATGACCTGCGCTTCATTACAAAATTCATGACGTGATGTTTATAGGCCACCTTCAATTATGATCGAGAAATAATTCACAAACGCGAACTGGTTTTGGTTGGAGTGACGTTCAAGGCCTCTCCACCAGAATATAACACCATGTTAAATAATTTGGTCACTTAGAATTTTGTTTAATTTTATTGAATATGACCTTCATCAAGACTCCTCTTCAAGACTTTAGCAACCTCCTGGTGTTGGGAGTTCAACCACGTGTACAGAAAAGGGATGCGGTTCATATGCTTGTATCAAAATCACATCTAATCAGACCTAGCTCCCTAATGAAAATCACTTCTCTAGTAAGGTTAAACTTCACTTACTCCTGACCTCACTTCAAGCTACAATGTGAGGTAATAATTTCAACATCTCATTATCAATTACTTGCTATGAATAAATTCCAGATAGATTTCATTTTTTATTTTTTGAAAAAGAAGACTTTAATATTTCATTCATTAAAAAATGCAATATAAATTCATATGATGAAAAACTCGACTCCAAAAGGTTCCATACAAACTAGATTTAAAAATATCACAATAAAGCATCACCATCGAAAATCAATAAGTAAAAATCAAGCATTTGCCATCGGGACCTGCAAGACTACACATATCAATAAAATTATTAAACTTCGTGTTATACGGAGATCATGTGAGAACAAAAATCTCAAATCAAACGTTGGGACAAGAATGACGATGTTAATGGGCCTAATTGTATCATCTACTCACCACCACGATTCCAAAACACAAAAATATATCCTAGATTGATTTCTTGTTCATGAAATCTTTGAAAGAAATAAAAGTCACTAGATAAATTGCCTAATTATGAGATCGGCATCGAATACACTCATGAACAAGACAATTAATTAGAGAACCTGATTTTAAACAAGTAATTACTATATTATTATTATTTGCAAGGCAAAAAATCTTATATTATTTAGGGTAATTCTCAGTTTATACCCTGAAGTGCCATGGTTTTCAAACTTTTATATATCAATTTTTTTCACCTCAATGTCATACCAAAAGTGAGAATTGTGGGACAGTTTCATACATTCGTTAGGTTTCCATGAAAACCTTCGTTAACTTGTGAGGTGGCACCCACGTGGACAATGACTGAGCGCCGCGTGTTAATCTGCCTGACATTAAAAAATAAAAAAGATTAATAAAAAAAAAGTATCATTATTTACTATAGATAAAAGCACAAGTGATGGGAAACATGCATCATAGAAATTCCACAACCCTCCTTTCTTTCTCTCATGCACCCTCTCTCTCTTCAATAAAATAGGTTACAATACAAATCAATTACTTGTTATTAAGGATGTTGACACTACTATGTTTAATAGTTATAGCGACGAAACAAGGACTGTCGCTTAAAGAAGATTTGTGTCGGCCAAAAAATTGGACGACAAAACCTTCGTCGCCAAAGTGTCATCGCGTAAAGCTCGTGAAGTTAGGATTTGCATGACGAAATTAACATTTGTCTCACTAAGGTTTATGGGACGAAGAACCTTCGTAGCGTAATATTTAACATTATGAAGGGCAATTCGTTGCACTAAGTTTTAAGAGATGAAGGAATTCGTGGCGCAATATTGAACACCACAAAAGAAAATTCGTCGCACTAAGTTTTGAGAGGCGAATACTTCGTATCGCATCTTTCAAAACCACGAAGGTCATTTCATCACGCATTCTTTAGAACCATGAAATCTGTCGTCGCCCTGAAGTAATGCCTACAAAAGCATTTCCTTGGATAGGTATTTGCACGACGAAATATTTTGTTGTGCAAACATTAGCGCAAGGACAATTTTTCATTTTTTTGTAATTTAAAACTTGTAAGTAATTTGGTGTTAAGAAGTTTGCGCGACGAATTGTTTCCTTTCATTTAGTTTAGTGCGACGAAGTCATTTCGGCATGCAAAGATATATATATATATATATATATATATATATATATATCGGCATGCAAAGATTTATATATATATATATATATATTTTAATTGTTTTGTATTTAATTTATAATAAATAGTTGATATTTAAATTAAATTACTTTCATTAGAAAAAAAAAAACAGTAATTTTGAAAGAAAAAATAAATTTACATCAAATAAAAAATATAATGTACGTATGGGAATTCTTTTTTGGTAGGCCAACTATGAGAGAGTATTTTTGGTAGGCTAATACAAGGTAATTATAGTAAGAATGAGATTTTTGGAGTGTCAATAACAATTTTCTTTTGACATAATTGAAAGAAATAAAAATCACTATATACGTTTCCCAATTAGCGAGATCAGTATTGAATATAATCAACAAGGCAATTAATTAGAGAACTTGGTTTTAAGAAAGTAATTTTTGTCTCATTATTAATTGATATGAATTTTCATTTTGAGGTCAGTTTTTGCTCACCCTCTTAATTATGGTGTAGTGTTTCTTTTCCTTACGTTTTTCTTATAACAAAAACACTCTTTTTTTTCTCCAACTCAATTTTCATTCACTATAAAATTAGTTTGCATTCTAAGTTAATGTGTCATCTCTCTCTCTCTCTCTCTCTCTCTCTCTCTCTCTCTCTCTCTCTCTCTCTTCAAACAAACACGAAACTAACGATGGGCATGTATCACCCTAATTGCCTCCTCCTAGTCCTGACCGCCTTGTTGTATGTTTCGGCTACTGCCACCACATATGAAGGAGTAGGAGGAGAAGAGCACAATTACCCTCCCAAGTACCCTCCTCCTTCTCCTCCTCTAAGGGGTGGGTATTTCCCCATTCGCAACTTGAGCGACCCACATTTGAGGGAAATCACGGAATTCGCTCTCTCCAAATACAACAAGATTCATAACCCAAAACTGGTGTTGCAGAAGTTGGTTCAAGGACAGTATCAAATAGTGTCGGGAGTCAATTACAAGCTTATCATTGCGGTTGTCGATTCTTCTTTGGTCAATAGCGGCCCCATCAACTATGAGATCATTGTGTTTGAGAAGCCTTGGATGAATATTAAGAAACTGAAGTCTTTTATTCGAGTCCAAATTAATAAACTTTAAATCCAGTCCAACTTATTTGTAAGGTTTATGGAATCCACAAATCTTAAGGCCTGCTCTATAACTTTATACAGAAACATTTAAAAATGGCTCAATTGCAATAATAGAAGTCTTTGAGTTTGCTCCCATTTTTGTGTTCACTCCTTTAATAATTTTGTTCTTGCAGTTTATTTCGTTACTACAGTTGGAGCCACTGGTCGGTGGGCATAAAAAATAAATTGCTATGTGGTCGATTTTCAGTTGGAGAAAGGAAAATGAACCATTCCTTTTAGGTTCCATATAAATTTGTCCTTATAACATGCGTTGTTACAGTATTTATTGTTCTCTTATTTTTCGTTTTTTTTTTTTTTTTGAGAAGTGTTCTTCCTCTTTAATTCATGTATAATTTCATATTTGTTGCAGTCTTAATTAGGTTAAGAATATAATTGTGTAAATGTTAGGAAATTCTTATAGGATTCTACCTTATCTTATCTTTTAGACAGAGAAAAGGAACCATTTCTTTTAGGTTCCATATAAATTTGTTCCTTATAACATGCGTTGTTACGGTATTTGTTGTTCACTTTTTGTTTGTTTGTTTTTGTTTTTTTTTTTTTTTTTGAGAAGTGTTCTTCCTCTTTAATTCATGTATAATTTCATATTTGTTGCAGTCTTAATTAGGTTAGGAATATGCTTGTGTAAATGCTGGGAAAATTTTATAGGATTCTACCTTATCTTATCTTTTCGATAGAGTCCTGTTTATTTATTTTTTGGTCAAACGATAAATTTGTTAGATTAGAAAGCCGACATGGTTTGAATCCATGCGCCATTGTGCAAGGAAAAACACTCATCTTCATCATTGTGGTAGAGGGCCACTTGTGATAGTGTCCTATTTAAGTTGTAAAACTTACTAGGTAAGGATTATAAATAGAGACACGATAAGTTGAGATTATGCACACCTCAAAATTATATCAAACGATGTCCTCATTCATATTTTGTTACTAATATCACTCTCTCCTTATTCATATTTTGTTACTAATATGTGGGATATTGAATGCATAAATGCAGGAGTTAAATCCATTAAATGATGATAGAAATTTTGCAAACTATTAAAACAAATAAGGTTTCATTCTAATAATTAAGGACCAAATGACCCTTTTTTTTCAAGGAAAAACAATATTTCTTTCATTGAAAAATTTACATTCCAAAGACATATTCATGAAGCAAGTGGCACTCTACCACAATGGTGCAAAGGAATGTTGTCTTTGCACCACGACGTGGGTTCGAATCCCGTCTGTTTCCTAATTTGATACCTAATGTAACAAATCTATCGTTTGCTATAAAAAAAGAAGAAGACATTCTTGAATATAATATGTAATTCGTTAGCTTTTGTTTGACACAAAACGAAAAACATGAACATTTCTTTATGATCTGGTGAATTTTATTTATCTGAAAAGAAATTACTTCCCCACATTGTGGTAGAAGCGTGTTTAGTTAACTAGTCATGTCAACCAAATGTTGTTGTGGAGCAAAAAATAATGGAGAAAAATATGGAGCTGACATGTGGATTCTTGAGTTAAAAAGACCAAATTACCCTCGAGGCGCATCGGAACTTCCACGTGCGAGTAGCAGACAATCGCAACTCAATCAAGGTCAAAAGTGATCAAAATAGGTATTTATTCAAAACCTATTTCATCCATCCTCATCAAATCCTCCCCACAAGGTAACCTCCAAAATATTTATTCAAAATAGGATTAATTACCTAAATTAATTAATTTTCTAATTAATTTCCTAATTGATTGCAAGATAATATTTTGACATAATATCTTGCAATTACACCCAAAAACACCAAATGTGGCCAGTTCCCATCTCTCCCAAGGGGGCCGGCCACACCCCTATAAATATCTCTCATTTCTCCCAAAAACCTAATTCCAAATCTCTTGCAAAATTTTCCAAATTCTCTAAACACTTTTCCCTCAAATTCTAACTTTGGCATCGGAGGTTCTTCGGCCAAAGCCCCCCCATTCATCATGGGCGCGTGAGGCTCTTGGCCTTGACCTAATGTGTTAATTGTTTTGCAGGTGCATTTTCGTCCAAGAAGAAGAAGGCATAATTTTGCATCCACAAATTGGTGCTTTCATTGAGAGCCTTGATTTACACGCTCGTAGAAGACTCTCACATTCAAGGTTTTTAATTTTTTGTCCATTCGTAGATTTTTCGTACGTTTTTATTTGTAAAAATTCTTTGATAAAATGTAAAAGAAAAGTACGATGGCAAGAGATTTAGAAACCACGACGAATGAAAATTCTAACGTTAAAGAATTGGGACCACGACAATCCACGAGGCTCAACGCGGTAACAAGTGTAGCGGCACCACCACCATGGGGTCACACCGTAGCAGCCACCACGGCAGCAACCACCATGGCCATCTTTGGAAGGCCCAAGCCCAGGTGCCAAAGGCAGCTCAAGTCGCTGTCAATGTCTTAAAAATCGATATTATCGGCGATATTTCGCCGATAATATCGTTTTTTTGACCGGCTGATATTTTTTTGAGTAAAATTAAAATATCTTTAAAATATCGCTAATATCACGATATTAGCGATATTATCGTGAATATTCGTCGTCGCCGCCACCGCCAGGAGGTGAGAAATGGAGGAGGAAACCACAGGTGGTGGGTACGAGCTGAACAACAGCAAAATCACGTCCCCCAGGGTGTAGAGAGATCGTAAAAAGACCCTAAGCAACTCGGCGGAGTTGCAGAGAAGAGATGGGGGGGATGTGGTGATGGTGCTCGGCGGAGTTGCTGAGAAGAGATGGGGGGAGAACCGGAGAAGGATCGAGTTCGAGAGACTAAGGGAGAAGAAGAAGGATGGAGAGACTGAGGGAAGGATCCAGATCGAGATCGAGATTCGAGATTCGAGAGAGACTGAGGTGAGGTGACCCAGCATAATGGACGGACTACGGAGAGACCGGACCGAGGGAGAGAAGGAGATGGAGAGACCGAGGGAGAGACGGAGACGGAGAGACCGAGGTAGAGAAGGATCCAGAAAGGCTCTATGTTCTGCTTGTTGCGTGTGCGTGTGAAGGAGACGGAGAGACCGAGGGAGAGAGAGAAGGATCCAGAAAGGCTTTGGGTATGCGTGTGTGCGTGTTGCATGTGCGTGTGTGCGTGTTGCATCGTGTGTGTGTGTGTGTTGCAGAGTGTTGCAGAGGTGAAAGAGGTGAAAATAATTTTGCACCCAGAGGTGAAAAGATGTGAAAATAATGTGCCTGTGACTGTGAGATGTTAGGTTTGTGTGAGTGTGTGCCAATAATTTTGCAAATAAATCCAAAGAAAACCCATTGAAACTGAACCAAACCGTCATATGCCCATACTGCCATACATGCATGTAGCCTTACACCTTCAAATCACATGTGAAATGTGAATATACATGCATGATTCTCCAGCTACCCATGCCACGTGTCAGCATGCATGAGTGAGAATTGGTAACCCTAGTTCTGATGTTTGGACAAATGGTGTGTGAAAAAAATCTTGACAAGACAAAAAGATATATCTATGTGTGAAAAAAACAGTGACAAGACAAAAATGTATGGTGGAGTGGTTTCTCACTGTCAAACCCATGTGTGTGTGTAAAAAAAACACTGCCAAAAGTTCAAAACCGTGTGCGTCCTAGAGGTGGAGTATCAGATCATCACACATTTTTTGACCCTTTGAAAATTGAAAAACCTCTATTACACATTTCCGTTTCTTCTTCTTCCCTTAGCCCTTTCAGAGCCTTTCCAGAACCTTTTCTCTCTCATTTATTCACAGACGGCAAGCTGCAGAGGATCGTCGAGGTTTTGCTGCTGCTACGTACGACATCGAAAGTTCCAGATTTGTTACATTTAAGGTAAGTTTACAAACTTACATTTATATTATTGTAATTTATACAACAACAAAAAAATTTGTGTGGACCCATGCATGAGATTCTTTAATTTTCACATCCTCACACTATCGTAAATGAACTTTCCAACACCAAAAGAGGGGCAAAACATTTACTAATTTTGCTTTATGGCTTTGTTCGAGCTCGTTTGCTCCTGATTATCCATTTTGATTAAACAATTTCTACATACCTCCCACGAAAAGGATCCATAATCAATCCTTTTAGTCTCCATTTTCAAAGAATATAAAAGAAACGGCAAGGAAAAGAAAAGGAAAGAAGAAACAATTTTAAAAAGTTTTAAAACACTTTTCTCAAAAAAACAAAAAAGAAAAAAAGAAAAAGGTTTTAAAACACTAAAAAAGAAAGAAGTTTGTCTAGAACATTTTATTAATTCTTAACAATTTGTAATAATATATAATACAAACACTGTGTTGGATATATAGATAATGTACATATATAAGGAGGTTAATTATACAAAAAAATTTGTGTGGACCCGTGCATGTGATCTAAGAACCAAATAATATGTTAATTTTTTGAAGTAATTAAGTAATGTTGTATAATTATTCCCTAGGATAATTTTAATACGTTTAATGTTATTTATTATTTTATTATCAAACTGGTTATTATTCATTAATATTAGTGAAGATAGTGAAAAATTATTCATTAATTTTGGGGATTTATCATTTGATAACTACTCTTCACAATACACTCACTCTACACATAGAGATGATGAAGATAGTGAAAAATTTGAACCTCATAGGAACTCTATGTGGTACTAAGTCACTCATGTATCTTACCATGCAATGTATAAACTGTAAAATATTGTACTAATTCATTATATATAAATGATTATGGTGTGTTTAAACTTCTTTCATTAATTACTACATATTTTCTACACTCACAATGTTTGACAGCTCGTTATATAATCAACTTGATAATGTTAAATCCATCATGCAATGCATTTCCTTCCATTTTTTTGTGATAAACTAATAGATAATTGACTAAATAACATCCTGCAAAGTTTCAATAAAAATTTCCAAGTTTTTCTTACAATTTCCGTGGTTTCCATATAATTTTTATCGATATCGATATTATCCCGATATTT